CGATAAGGGACGTTTATTTCTCTAAAAAAGAATGCATAAAAAAAGCGCTGCTGCTGAATTTACAGAAAAAAAAGCAGTATGAAAAGGAGTAGAAACCTTATAATCGGCCAATGAATAGATGTTTGCGACAATTTGCGCTGCCATACGACGTGTATCGGATGCCCGATCGGAGAATGCACGACGAACAATGGGCATAATTAAGGATAAGGAGGCAGCATCGATGTAATGTATAAATTTCGTATTCACAACTGTCTGTAAGCATGACGATGTCTTATTGGCCGGATCCGTCAGGCCCATCAACAACTGATTGCTGATACCTGAAAAGTTTTAAATTTTATGCAAAAACTCATCATCTGCCATTCAAAGCACCGCTTGCTCTACAGGTAACGACTAAACTAGGAACGACGATACCTAAATGAAGAGAGTGGAACTGTCTAAGTCATGACCGCACAGGAATACGGACTAAGATTACCGCTGGCATGGTACATATGTAAAGAAATGTGAGTTAAAAAACTCTAAATGGCACGAAGCGATTGTCGAGTAAAAAGAAAACTATGCCTTTTCATCGGATAATCGCTAAAACATATTGCGTGGGAAAAAGTGTAAAACAGGATGTTAAATTCAGCCTGAATGAAAAATTTAGCCAAAGTAAATTATTTCGAAAAAATAAAGTAAAATTACGAAAAATTACCCGAATTTTCAAAAAAGTCGAAAAAATTCCCCCCGCATCATTCAATGAAAAGCCGAAACACCCAAGAAATTAGTTTGAGTGATAGCAAATGCTAGCAGCAACCTCCCGCTGGAAAGACTGCCGATGTAAACCTCTTTCGAGAAATGCTGACCAAAAAGGTAAAAAAAACATAAAAAACGTCCCAGATAAGATTGGAGCTGCTAAACACACGAAGCTCGCCAAAGAAATGCTAAATTTATGACCAAAACGACACAAACCAAAACAAAACGACGTAGTTTTGCCTGATCAAGAAATGCCTAAGTCCCGTCTAGTTTCGCTGATTAAATTATGCGTTTCAAAGGAACAATTCAAGAAAACAGTAGCAGCAACTGCGCTTGCTCATGATTCTAGAACAGTGAAAAACTTACTCATGATTTCCGGATTGCGGATTACTTTGGCGATCTGTTTGAGCGCTTTTTCACCGGATTTTTGCACTTTGGAATGTGAATCCGTTAGCACTTCCATTAACTTTGGAACGATGTTCGGTAGGCACGCTGAAAGTTGCTTCGGGGCGCAAAATGCCATCGCTCCGAGCAGCTCCACTGAGGCACATTTCGTGCGCCAAGACTCATCGTCTAATGCGGCAAGCAACGATGGCAAAACCTGAAATCTAGTAGTTTCAACCAGGCCACTACACAGTTTAACATCATAACTACTGATCTAGGAACCTCAACATTCAGTACTTGTTTTTTTGCTTGAACTTGTTTTTTTAGCATTTCTTTAACGCGAAGTTCATACTTTCCTCGCAGAGTTCATACTTCTCAGTCCTCGTAATGTTCACATTTCTTTTTTTTCGAAATTTACTCACAAATTCTCATACCATAGAAATTGCAATTCTAAATTTGCCGTAAAAATGTGAAATAATTTGCCTAGGGACTTTGCCTTAGCTCAAACTTTGATCAATTTTGTCAATGTTACTACCCATATCGTTTTTAGAAGCATTGTAAACTGAGGTTTTTCCTTAAGAAGCATTGTAAATTAGTGCATTAACCCTGGCAATTACATATGTGATGGACACTTCCACCACATTATTAGTAGAATATATGCAAATTTTCTCACCAATTTGACTCCGTGAGCAGA